TTAAGAGCAACCACATTGATCCCCGGCTCACTATTGATCGAGCAATGCAAAACTGTAGGGAGTTTTTAGATGCTAAGGTCAAATCTCATGTACCTTTTGGGGATGCTTCAGTTGTTCCAAACATTCTTGCCCAAGGGTGGAGGCCTCCAATGTCTAATTATGTGAAAATTAATTTTGATGGAGCATGGAAAAAGGACTCGCATTTGGCAGGTCTGGGTGTAGTTGCTAGAGATGCTATCGGATCCTTTTATGGTGGTTTGGCGACTCCGTTCCATTGCAACTTGGCTCTGGTTGCAGAGGCTGCTGCTTGCCTTTGTGCTCTCAAGTTTGCTCTTAATCATAATTTCACCGACATTATCTTTAAGACAGATTCGAAGATTTTGGTGGAAGGAGTTAGAGGTGGAGGAAAAAATGGTGTTTGGGCTATCCAACGACTTCTGGATGAGTTTAAGATCTGTTTGTTTTAGATCGGTTCTTTGGAGCTGGGTGCCAAGGAATTTGAACCGCGCAGCACACAAGGCTGCAGCGATTGGAATCAGAGCGGAGCAACTGGAAAGTTGGGTTGTCAGGCCACCTCCGTCTCTTGTGGGAGTTTTACTATCTGATGGCCTCCCTTGTCCTCCAGGGAGGTTTTCATAAATTATTGTTGCTTTAGTTTTGCTCTTTTGTGACTTAAGGGGGTGTATTCAATTGAGATTTTAAAAGACTATTTAGTGATAAAAAAAGTCTTGCAGATTTAAGCAGAATATAATTACTTTTAGGATTTTTTTAATGGAATTTTTTAATCAAGATTTTTTACTTACGGATTTTAAAGATTTTTATTACAAGATTTATAAGATTTGAAAGGACCACATAAATTTCTTCTAGGGTCAACATAAGATTTTTTAAGAAAAAATAGACCCTTAAAAATGAAACGCTAATATTGTTTCTATCTCTTCACCATCCTGATGCCCACAAAGCAACCTTCATTCTTGGCAACAATTTCAATTGGTTCTCACCTCTGTCAAAATCATTTGTTTGTATCAAAATCTATTTCTGTTGTTGATAAAAAATGAAATTTCATTGAAACTCAAATATGGGTACAATCTTGAAACAAAGTATCATCAATCAAAACAGGGGTTCCTCGAACATAATCTTGACCACAGGTCAAAGCATATTTTGCAAGTCTATGGGCTACTTCATTACAGCTCCTTGACACATGGTCAATTGAGGCCTTCTGAAAACCAGAAAGGAGCTCTCCACAATCCTCATAAAGCATGCCCAAGACAGCTCCATTTGAGTCACTTTTGTTAACAGCAAGTACAATTGTGAGAGAGTCACTTTCAAACTGAACCCGTAGGAGACTCAGGTCTCTATCCAATTGCATCCCAACTAAGAGAGCCAGGGCTTGGATTTGCTCCCTAGCCTTCCTAACTGGCTGCACACAAGCTGCAATGAAGGTTCCTCGCTCATCCTGTACGGTGCTATCCTCAGCTTTCTAGGCACCACCCACATTAACCTTAACAAAGCCATCTCTTGGAACCTCCCTTTTTTTGGAGCCGAGCGTGGGATATTGGAGACCGATTCATCCCTCATTTGCTGATATTCAGCCAGCCAAGCCTTTGCTTGCATCACCATCGCATTTGGGTCCACACCACCACCATCCCAAATACGCGAGTTGCCTTTGAATGCCAACCTCTTCCACAACAAGAATTCTATTAATGATTTTCTAGTAACTAATCTAAATAGAAGCTACACCCTTTGGGAGCTTGCGTCGAACAGATGGTGGGCAATTTTTGCCCAGCCATCTAGCTTTGTCAAACAGATGTGTGGAGGTCCACATGTTAGAAAGCTTATTATACGCCAACAGCAGCTAGCTCTAGTTTTGAAGGTGGTTTGATCTTCATGTGAGGAAGGTGAGGAAAGAACATTACTTATACCCAGTAGTTGTTATTGGTGGTTTGGTCGCCATGGTTTGTACCCAGTGCACAACTGCTTGGGTGGAGGTCAAGGTGAGGAAAGAATTTTTTTAAAAAAATCTTACGTGAAAAGTCTGATGGGTTAAGGTGGGATTTGAGATAGGGGTTGGTACTTATACCACCCACTAAAAAATCTCACACAATCTCACATTTTAAAAAATCCTTCGAAATTAGCTAGGTTTTGAATACAATAAGACTTTTTGTTACTTGTTTAAAGTCTTGATTGAATACCACAAGATTTCAACACCCTCATTTAAAAATCCTAATAGTCTTAATGGAATACCACAAGATTTGTTTAGATTATTTAAAAGTCTTAATTGAATACCACATGACTTATTTATCTCAAAATAATCTTTTAAAATCTCAATTGAATACACCCCCTTAGGCTATTTGTCTCGGCTCTCTGTTTGGAGCTTAATTTAGGTTCTGTCTTGTTTGTTGTGTTTTGTTGGCGCTGTTTTGGCGTTTTGTTAATGAAGATCTTATTCAGACCCAAAAAAAAAAAAAAAAAGGCAAACAATGCGGTGGAAAAAGCCTTTCTTTCAGCCAATTTGTGTCGGCGAAATACACAAAAAATAATTCCCCACTCACCAATTGTGTCGATCCCTACTAGTTTTACCGTTCTCGAATCCCTATCTCTATCTGTCTGCTCTCTTCCTCAAATCCCTTGTCAGTGGGGAATTGAATTGCAGTATGTATGTATACCCGAACCTAATAGGAATCCTCAACCATAATAAAAGCCTTACCAGCCGTGAGAATCACCATTCCATTGTTCCGAAATCTAATTTTTCTTTTCTTTTCAAACTCAATCTTATCTCTCGGCATTTCTTCTCTCATGGCTGAATTGGAAAATCCCCTCCTCAATGAATTCTGTGCTGCCGACACTGGCGTCGCCACCTTCCAGTCACGCCAAGGGCCCGCCCCCAACGCCGACCAATGCCTGAAACAGAGCCTTAATGGTTGCAAAAGGTTCAATCGGAACAGAATTGCCGACAATGGTAAGTAACTGTTTAATTTTTCTCCAGTGGAATTTCGGTGCCTTTTTGAATTAATGGTTAAGGTGTCTTATTGGAAATCTGGTACTCATGGTGAAGAAGCAACTGTCAGTGGAACTAATATGTTTATTGCTTGATGCTTTTCCATTAGACTGATGCTTGAATTGTTAGAACCATTGGTATCTTGGTGGTCAATGTAATTAGACTCTTGTTTTATGATTCTTGCAGGAATTCAGAAATCTAGTGATCCTAAACAAGTTGCCAGATCTGCAAAGATATCAGAGCTGACCACCAATACTCTTATGAGCTCTAAAGGCTCCATGAAGCTTCCATCTGGATTTGTTGAGCAGAAGCAATTCAAGGCGAACACGAGTCATTGCAGGTTTCTTTCTTATTACTCAATTTCTATTCCTAAAGTTGAAATCTCACTTCTCTATGGCTTCTAGGGATAAATATTTATTGTAACATTCCTATGATCTATGCCTCATTTCTTTATCAATTTTACTATCACTCATACTTCCGTACCTTGTAATCCCCACTATGCCTTCACATTTTATAAAAACAGCTAAAACTTTTTGGAAACTTAAGAGGATGAGAAAACAGTATTTTAGTGAACAAGGATGTTTCAATTCACCCGGAAAGCCGTGTTAATAATCAGTGTACATAACTTCCTATACCCCATGGTAGTTGGCTTTTGATGAGCTAACATCATCACCATATCTAGAAACAAGGATAAACAAGTTTTACCACTTTTTCCTTTCTCAAGCAAACAATGCAGTGGATTAAAAGGTATTTCTTTCAGGCACATTAGGTTCCTAAGTCTTAGTTTTCCCATACAACACTGTGATTAAGCACAACCATATTGGCTTGCCATCACATATATGATTTATATTGAGTAGTTTACTTGGGAGGTTGTGTTTGTACGAATTCATTTTAGTTAACGATCCATTCAATGTTTTTCTTTCTTAGAGGGCATAAATTATGTGTATAATACATTGCATGGCGCAGGTTTATGAGATGCGATACTGCTACCAAAGCAAGGAAGAGAACCCAATTGTCTCTTGGATTGCCGACCTCTAGTAAGTTAAAAAGATCAAAGAGATCATCATCAACAGAAAGAAGAACATCAATTGATGATCTATCTGACGTTATATTGGCTGAAATCCTTTGCCGACTTCCATGCAATAAATTTGTTTTTCAATGCAAGTCTGTGTCTAAGCATTGGTGCACTCTCATCGCAGATCCTTATTTTATTGGCCGCTTTGTAAATATCCAAAGTTATAAGAGAACTCCAAAGATACGCACTTTGATAAACAAAAGAGTGGTGGAATTCCCTCCTAAAGTGTCGCTGTCACCTAATCTACTAACACAGTCGCTCGAAAGAATCATTTGTTTCCACCGTTTCATAGGAAATCCAGTTGTGGTAGCGACATATAATGACTTACTTTTGTGCTGCACAAGCATGGATTATCAGCGCAATTACTACATCTGCAATGCATACACCATGCAATGGGTTGGTCTTCCTCCCACCCCAAGTCGATGTCACAAGCGTGTACGAGTGGGATTCATCTGCAATGTTCCTGACTATAATTGTGAGGAAGACAATTGGAAAGGAAATAACAGCCAGCTTAATGTTGAGTGTAGGTC